GCCCGAAGTCACTCTCCACCCACCCCCACTCATCCCAAGTCCTTCCCCTCCCATTTTCACCCACACCACTGCTTTCCCTCATGGCCGGCCCCGTGCCAGCCTCTGCCAGGGAGAGGCCGCGTGCCCCTTCCCGGGGCGTCCATGTGTTACAGGAAGCATTTCCTCACAAAAGAGTCAGCTGGCCAGAAATGTGGGCAGAGAGCGAAGGGCAGTGTGTTCAGGTTCGGTTTATTATGTTCTCACAGCCTTGTTTATAGTAGAGGTGAATGACATTATTCCACTTTGCACGGTAATGAAACAATTCAATGAGGATGAGCTGCTACAGATGCGCGCGCGCCCCGTGACTCGGCAGCGGCTAACACTGCCTCGCCTGGAGGGCACACAAGCCCAGCCACCAGTTCAGTCCTTGGAAGAGGGGTGGGAGCCGAGGGGCAGAAGGGAGGAAGAAGCAGGAAGGGGACCAGTGTATCGACAGGACCCGGCCCCCACACCCGGGACAGCCAGTGGCCCCATCCTGCCGACTTGGACCATGGCATCACGTGGTCCGGCGAGGTCGCAGGGACAGGAAGACATCTCCCTTGGCTTCTTCCTTCACAGTCTCATGCAAAGTGGCACAGGCTCCCCGTGCCAGGGGGTGACTTCACCACCTCTTCTGCTTTTAAAACAGAGGATGCAGATTTAAAGAGGGCTGATGCTCGGCAGATTGCAGGAGAGCCTCAGATGGAAAATTGTGAACTCCTCTGCCTGGCTGGGAAGTGGCCACAGACAGGGGTCAGGAGAGGTCTGGGTGCTCTCGATGATGGGAGACATCCTGCCTCTGAACTCACCACTTACCACCTCTCCTTTCCGGTTTTTGGAGAAGCAGATGCCACAGGAGTGGTTTGTCTTCAACCCACCTGCAGCCCCGCTCCTTCCTCTTCGGTCTTCCCCGGCTCTCAACCACAGTGAGTTCACACCTTGCCCTCACTCCTGGACACCCAGCTGTGCCGGGGACAAGCGCCCAGGGCCTGCCCCCAGTGGCTGGGCCTGAGGCTGGGCAGAGAGCCATTCACAGCTTTGGTTAACCCAGAGCAGCAAGTTCTGCAGAGAGCACCAGAAAGAAAATCAACTAGGAACTTCCCAGCTGCCCACCCGGCTTGAGACTAACAAGGGAATGGTGAGGGCACAGAGCAACAGCCCAAACCCCACGGCGGCCTTGGCAGAGAAAGCCTCAAAGAGCTTGCAGTTCTGAGGGTATGACACCCTCCACTGAGAAATCTGAAATTTTCGTGCTACCACTGTTATTACTGCCATGCGCTCCTCACCCGCTAAGACCAGCTCCCAGGTTTCACGGCCTTGGGTACAGAGGCACAGCCTAACATGAAATGAGCAAGCACGTGAGTGCATGAACACAAACAGAAAACAGAGAAGCAGCCCACGAGGCAAGCTTGGAGGAAGCCCTGTGAACAAGACCCGGGAGGCATAGAAAACCCCAAGGACCCCTTCAGCCCCCACCATCGGCATACCCCATGCATGCAGCTGGGACAGAAATATTTTTATCTCAAAAGAGCAAGTCAGAGAGGGCACAGAGACAGCCACCCTAAGAGTCAGATTCAGGGTTGGCAGGTTCCTGGTTATTGTGCTTGTTTGTGGCTGGGTGTGCTCTAGCCCTCTGGGACCAGCTGGAGACCAACCCCCCACCCCCACCCCCATTCCTCAGGCCCAGCTTCCCAACCTCATCTGCACATTGGATTTACCTGTGGAGCTTTAAAAACTACTGATGCTTGAGTTCCAACCCCAAGCTGTTCTGGGGTGGAGTCTGGATGTTTGGGTTTTTTAAACTCCCGGGTGATTCCACTGAACAGCCAAGGGGGAGAGCTTCTGTCTTAGACCATCTTTTTTCTAAGTATGGTTCACAGGCCACTACATACCTGGGAACTTATTAAAAATGCAGATTTTTGAATCCCACCCCAGATCTATCAGATCAGCATCTCTGGGTGTGGAAACTGGGAATTAGCAATTGTAACAGGCTTTCTGGGTAACCCCTGCACATCCTCAGGTTTCATAATAGATGCTGCTCAGGGATCCTTCCTCACCCCAGAGGTGCCCCGAGCTCTGAAGGGTTGTCACTGATGATGTTCTATTTGGTTTAGCGAGGGCAACAGAAAATCTCACACCAGCCCCCAAATCAGTTAATACTCATGTGGGGCTGAAAGGCCACTCAGGGATGAGAGCAGCCCTAAATGTCACAGCTCTGCCCGGCCCACTGCATGGCTTGCACCTGGAAGGCAGTCCACAGCACAAGCCTGGCACGAGGCGCCAAGGAAGATGGCAAATGGGAGAAGCGGCCCCTGGGAGTGCCCCCCTAATGAGGCAGAGGAGGGCTTGTGAAGAGGACAGGGGAGCGGGTAGGACAGGGTGATGGGGAAGGTCAGGGATGAGGTATGCTCGGATATTGCTCTAGATGTTGTAAACATTTCTCTTTGTTTCTTCACAGACCAGAATCTGGGTTGGCATGACCAAAGTGCCTGAAAGTAGCATCAGAGCAGAGAGCTCTGTGCCTCTTGTGGGAAGCAGGACATAAAGGGTATGAGGAAAGCTCCACCCATGGGAAGATCATCTCTGTGGTGTACAAGTCTAGTGCTCTTAATTGTCTCTCTCTCTCTCTCTCTCACACACACACACACACACACACACTCCACGGGAGTACCATAAACATAGCTATCACATTCCTCTACACACAAACACAAGCCCACCCACCCTCACTTAGTGTCAAATTTCGGGATACCCAAGCTGGGTCCTTCACACCTCCCCATCATGGGAGGAAGTCACCAGACACCATGACACCACCATCTGCTGCCTTCCTTCCACCAATAGTTTAGCAAGAACTCTAGGCTTCAGATGAGGCCCCCGCACAACGCTCTTGTTCAGACTTTTCTCCCGGGGACAGTGGAAGTGGTAAAAAGGCCCCTCTTAGAACGTTTCGCATTTCCATAACTCTGTGCTGTTCCAATTTACATGCCCTTCATGTTCGACAGTAGATTTGGCAGCAGATGCACGTTTTGTATGTAAACAACGATGGAAATACCCTGTTCAAGAATTTGATCATTAAATTAATTCTGGCAGCGTGGGGATGGGAGAATACTACCCGCTCTAACTAGGAACACCCACAGGAGGCTGCAGAGTTCTAGAATGTGAAATTCCGCAGGTCTCTTCAGCAGTCCTATGTTCTCTCTCCTTGATGGTTTATACAGACAAATCAACCCTCACTCACAAATGCTCATAGATACACAGCAGGGCAGCGGACCCTGCCAGTGGGACTCAAGAGCCTTCTTGGCCTGCTGTAGCTGTAGCTGAGGAAGGAAGAGATTCATGAAGCTGTTGGACGAGAACGCAAATGTGGAACACCCTCACATTTAAAGAGGCCCATCTTTCCCCCAGGAGGAGACAGCTTCCACCAAGGCCTCAGTCACCTGCACTGCAGAACCCACACCTGTGTAGCTTCATTTAGTCCAGCTGAAAGCTTTGGAACTCTGCAGTGAAGCCAAATCCATCAGCTGTCAATCACCCCGATCGACCTCCAGCCTGTTCTCTCTGATTCAGTCTACCAGGAGACCAGCATCTCCCAGGCTCCTCTTCCACTTTCTGGTCTCTCTGCTGAGGCTTCATCTCCCTGGCACCACAGTTTTGGGCCAAAGTCAAGCTGCTTCTTCCTGGGCAGCTGGAAAAAGGTTTCCTGCATCTCACTCACCACCCAAGGAAGAGTGTCCTGATGTAGTTCCAAGAGCAGTGCCGGGGTACCATGAAGTCATCTTGAAGGAAGTTTCTCCATAAACCAGATGTTCACAGTGATCTTCTCAGTCTCACTTTCGCGTCCATGTTCAATCCAAAACATCAAGAAGGAAGCTGCTGATCAGCCAAGATGGCCCTCATGAGAGGGACCTTTCTAAGAAAGCATGCTCTCAGGAAGCAAGCTGGAAAGAGAGTGATAGCCTAAGTTCCCATTCTCCCCCATCAGAATTACATGACCTGCATGGAGGGGGGGAAAGAGGGAGAGACAGGGAAAGTATTAGGCACGTAGAGAGCTGTCCATGCTAAGGGACTTCACCTCCATTTACCAAGCCGTCCATCATTCTATGGGGCCAATGATGTGTGATGCCACAGGGAGGTGAGGGCAGAGCGTACATTAAGCAACAGAGAGGTTATATGGTGCCCCACTGCCCAAAAGTCTACTGGTGCTACATTCCCTGCTCATTCAACTTCTGGAAAACTTCTTGGCAGAACTGAGGAAGACTTGCAGGCTGTCTATTTCTCAATAGCAGCTCATCTACATCAGACGTGATGAAGGACATCTCCCAAGATCCTTTCTGGATTTGCAAGTGTATAGAGTCTTGTGAATTTCCTAGGTTGAGATGGGCAGTGATCACAGCCTTTCATACTGGTCCTATGGAAATGGAAGAAATAGCCAACTTCATGGAGTTTGTCCCTTTCCTCAGAGACCACCTGTCAGTGACAGTGTTGAAAACCCCAGATACCACTGAGGTCTCAGCACCAGGACTGGCCATTACATCATGACAGCAAATCACAAATGTGATCCAGAGTCTTCTAGCCCTTCCTCACAGGGGTCTAGGACAAGTTCGAGAGTTGGGAATCCTAAATGAGGAGCGTGTGGAAGTGGTAGAAATTGCATTTGTGTTATTTACAGATTAGCCCAGCACAGCAAATCTCCCTTCTTGGTGGAGATGACCCAAGGCCTTATGAAAGGCAAGTTGCCAACCCAGAGAAGGGTGACAATGTACCACCACTAAGCAAAACACAAACATGGGTAAATGGGGTAGGACAGAGTCTGAGCTCTGGTGGCTGGATCAGACTTTGGAATGGCCCTTCATCTGTTTCTTACTCCTGGCCTCCCAACCTATTCGCCACTGCTTTTGAACACCTATGACACTTCACATTAGAATATGGTCTTGGCAGCAAGGGGAGGGGGAAGCCGGTGATCTCCAAGAGTCCCCATCTGAGTTCTAACTGAGCCGCCTCTGGTTTTGGGACAGCAAATCTAAGTACATTTTGGACCTCAGGAACCGGGGGTAAGAGTCTTTCTCCATGAGACTGTGTACTTTGCCCTGGGCTTGGTCAAAACAAGTCAGGGATGGCTCTTGCATGTTCTTCCTCGTGGCTTCTCGGGTCTGGAAGTCTATGTTTACCTGGAGACAGAAGCAGAGAACATCATCATAGGCCCTCAAGGGCCAAGGCACCTGGCAGCTGGTCCTACTTAATAATTATTCATGACAGCATCTTAAATACGTTAAGGTTATTCATATTTTTCAAACTGCTTTCATGAAAGTCATCCCTTTTGATCCCAGGAAGAGTCCTGTAAGGTCTGAAGACCAGATATTCTTCATCCCAATTTATAAAGACACTGAAGAAATGAGATATCAAAAAGCTGGTCTATGAAGTAGGATATGGCAGCCCACTCCAGTATTCTTGCCTGGAAAATTCCATTGGCAGAGGAGCCTGGCAGGCTAACTACAGTCCATGGGGTCACAAAGAGTCGGACACAACTGAGTGACTGACCACTCCCCCTTCCCACTCACCTCCCCACTTTCATTCCCTGGCGCTATTAAAATTTAGTGTGTAATCGTAAAAAAAGAAAAAGAAAAAAAGCTGGTTACTATGGAAAATTAGTAACAGTCAAGGTAAAAAAACCCAAATTACTCAACACTCAATCCAGAGGTCTTCCCAATGTCAGGTCAAGAGTTAAACCGGAGACTAGCATTAATGTGGGTTCCCTAAAGTAAATTTGCCTGTTTGTCCTTTCTCAGCTACTAAGGAAACAAATGCCCTGGGGAGAAAGACTATGTTAAGAATGTACATCTCTCATCCAACCAAAATTATAAGAAGCCTGCTATATTCTGGCCATTGACCAAAGACCTCCTGAGTCGCAAGTCAAAGCATAATTGAAGAGTTCTACATACACAATGCATCTAAATTCAGAGACAGCAAATTTTTTTCTTCTGTAAAACCCTCCCAGGTAAAACCCTGTTTTATAACTCAGAATAGCAGTACATAGAAATTCATATTACTATTATAAGTAATTATAATAAACGACCATAAAATAATATAAGTGACTGTAATTACTCATTACTAAGCAATGGCAAATATTGGCTAGGTGTTTGACCCCTAACGCTCATAGTGGTTTTGAAAGGGAGGTGATATTGTACCCTTTTACACTGGGGAAAATGTGATTCAGAGAAACAGGGTAAGTTGACCAAGATCACAGAGCAAGTAAGTGGTGGAGATAATGTTGCAACAAGATTCCAAAGTGCATGCTCATTCCATCAAGCCATGCTGCCTTCCTCTAGGAAAACTAACACGGATTTATTGGCATCTATCTTGCAGAATCCCTATAGAAACACAGTTCCTGCTGGCACATATTTAACTGACAGACAGCTAGAATACTCCTAATAGAGCTCCTTTTTATAGAATCCCTGGGCTCTGCACCTTAAAAGTGGTCCCTTTTTTCATCAACAGCCATCAGAGCAATAAGGTTCAGTTCAGAAGAAAGTCCCCGTCAAACCTGGCTCAAACCCCTTCGAAGACAGAGGGCTATGGATGGAGGTCTGACAAGACCCCACCGCCAACACACCTCCCGCGGAGCCTGCACATCCACAAACTCCTCAAAGATTCTATGGGCCTTGGAGACCAGTTTGGCCGTTGACCTGGTCTTCTTGAACTCCTCACAGGCCAACCAGAACTCCAGGTTCTCTTCACTGAACTCCGTCTTCAGGAAGGCGCGGAAGGCAGCCACTCCATCTGTGGATGTGGAGGGGTGTGGAAAGGAAGAGAAATAGGAAGAGGCTTAAGTTCAAGAACTGTAGAAGAAAGAAAGGTGGTCAGAAAGCAAGAGTGGCCCAAATTAGGCCACTGTCCAGCCCCCACTGAGCCTCCTCCACGTCCTCTTGAGGATTCTCTTCTCTTAAACACACAGGTACCCTCAGAGGCGAGCTGTGCTCCTCATTAGAGGATCACAGGGATGTTCCAGAGAAAAGATTAGGATGCCACAGGAATAATGACTCTGGGAAGGCCTAGTCACTTCTAATCAGCCCTCAGTGGTCACTGCCTGTCCCCTAACACAGAGTTGGCTGTCCCCTGGGTCTACTGGTGAGACTGTGTTTCTAATGAGGCCAAAGTAATATATGGAATTCGTTCTCGCCCAATCCAAGTCAGCCAACCTGAAAAAAACAATCTGTCACAAGACAAATTGGGTGGGTCAGGGTGTGTGAATGCCTCAGGGCAAATCCTTTACTAATATCAGAAAAATGTCTGAAAGTAAACACCCCACTGCCATGTAGTCAGTAAAAACATCCTATTACATGGAAGGGGTTCTCAGTCTCTTTTTAAAAACTTTTGAGGTCCCATATTTTAATGATTAATTCCATGGATCCTTTAGTTTAAGAGCTTGCCTATCAAATTATATGTTTTAATTGAGATCAATTATAACTTTTCTACCAAATGATTTAATGATTAATATATCCTTTCATTTTCTTAATTAATGTCATGCATATTGCCAAATGGAGCTTCTGATCAGAATAAGATGAGCAGGATTATCACACAGATTTGGAGAAAGAAACAACATTCACTGATAGCCTATGCATTCTGCTGATGTTTTCATCTTAAAAGAGTTTTTATAAAGTATCCTAACCTTTAACACACACTCCTCAAATCAAATAAGACCTATCGCTTTCTACCAACTGTCCCCAGAGAAAGGGCAGATACAACCAAAAATAAAAGAGTGACTGCATTTGGTAAAAAATTACTCTGGCTATAATGTTTCATTTCTTTTCTAAAATCTACTAGAAGGACAATATGTTCAGTTCAGTTGCTCAGTCATGTCCGACTCTTTGCAACCCCATGAATTGCAGCACGCCAGGCCTCCCTGTCCATCACCAACTCCCGGAGTCTACCCAAACCCATGTCCATCGAGTCAGTGATGCCATCCAGCCATCTCATTCTCTGTCGTCCCCTTCTCCTCCTGCCCACAATCCCTCCCAGCATCAGGGTCTTTTCCAATGAGTCAGCTCTTCGAATGAGGTGGCCAAAGTATTGGAGTTTCAGCTTCAGCATCAGTCCTTCCTATGAACACTCAGGACTGATCTCCTCTAGGATGGAATGGTTGGATCTCCTTGCAGTCTAAGGGACTCTGAAGAGTCTTCTCCAACACCACAGTTCAAAAGTATCAATGCTTTGGCGCTCAGCTTTCTTCACAGTCCAACTCCCACAGCCATCCATGACCACTGGAAAAACCATAGCCTTGACTAGACGGACCTTTGTTGGCAAAGTAATGTCTCTGCATATGTTAACAGGTTTTTATCCACTCTTTTTTTTAGTTTTTAGATTTTTTTGTTTGTTTTTATTGGAGTGTAGTTGCTTTACAATGCCATGTTAGTTTCTGCTGTACAGAGAAATGAATCAGCCGCATATACACCTATATCCATAAATATATATATGGATTTTCTTCCCATTTAGGTCTCCACAGAGCACTGAGTAGACGTTTCAGTGCTATACAATCTGTTCTCTTGTTATCTACTTTATACATTTTGTTGTTTAGTCACTAAATTGTGTCAAACTCTGCGACCCCACAGACTGTTAGCTACTAGGATCCTCTGTCCATGTGATTTCCCAGACTCAAGAATACTGGAGTGGGTTGCCACTGCCTTCTCCAGGGGATCTTTCCAACTCAGGGATCAAACCCACATCTCCTACCTCTCCTGCACTGGCAGGCAGGTTCTTTATCCCTGAGCCACCAGAGAAGTCCAATTTTATACACAGTAGTATATATACACCACTTGAAATCTCCCAGTTCATTTCACACCCCATTCCCACACTGGTACCCATGGACTGCCCTGAGCAGCCTATGTCCATGCATATGTACCAGGATTGGGCACTGCCCAGCTTCATTCCATGGACCAGTGGCACTAGCCACGTGGGTGACATATTTAAATGTTTGTTTTACTTTCCTGAAACACTTTTATTTCTAATTAAAATGTCTGTTTCAAAATAGACGTTTTCTTGCCCACATTAGAACCATAGTTATAAAAACCAAGACTTTTAAGAGCCAGTAACTTGGGAGAGAAAAGGGTTTCAATGAAACTCCCAAACCTAAACCTTAAATCACAAAGAAATCTAAGTTTGGGGTCCTGAGCTTAAAGTGTTTAACAAAGGTAGGGTTAGCCATGACATCACCCTAGTCAGGACATTTCGGAGAGTGAAGGGGACCACTTCTGTTCATTACACAGGAAAAACGGGCACAAACCCTGACCACCATAGGCAAAAACCAGGACACACAGTCACCTTAACAGTAAGACCAAGAGACTGGAGAAAGCAGAGTATGATATAAGGTTTTTTTGCACCAGGCAGGATGGAAATAAAATTGTTGCTGTGCCAGGCAGGAGGAGAGTAACACAATTTAGATTCACATGCAAGGCCTGCTCAGGTCTCCACTCACCCTTATCCCTGCCTTGGGTTCAAAACCCTGAGAGGAGGGAATAGAAATGTGAGATAAACTGAGGATCAAAGTGCACGTGAAACAGTGGCCTGGCAATGATTAGGCAGAGAGAGAGAGAGTCTGAAAATCATTCATTCAACTCAACAAATTTTTTAAAAACCTACTTATGTACAAAGTACTATTCAAAGTCTTAGGATACGTTAGAGGACAAATCATAAAATTCCTGTCCATAATATCTCTTGTGGGTACTCTTTTTGCCACGTCCTGTCTCCTCCAAGGTCTCAAAGAGGTCAAGAGGTTTCCACACCCACCTGCTGCCGTCGGAGTCTTTGAGGGGACTCAGTGCCCATGACAGGCGAGGGGTGGGGGGTGGGGGTCTGCTCCAGCAAAGTGACCTCGGAGCAGAGATCAGTCCACATGTGACCAGAGCCGGGGACACTATCCACGATGTGGGGAGGACACAGGCCATGGGCCCTGACCTTGTGCCTTCCCACTGTGGTCAGGGTATGGAAGAAAAAAGGTGGGGGGATGCTAAAACACCACATTGATCTAAAGGAGCAAATGTGAAGAGACTCAGAAGAGTGACTAGGAAGGGCCTGGGGTTTTTTTCTTTTCTTTTTAATTGGTGTCTAATTGTTTTACAATGTTGTGTTAGTTGCTACTGTACACCGAAGTGAATCAGCTACATGTATACCTAAGCCCCCTCCCTCCTGAACCTCCTTCCCATCCCACTCCCATCCCACCCCCTAGGTCATCACAGAGCCCCAAGTTCCCTGTGCTATACAGCCTGTTCCTTCTAGCCATTTTACATATGGTAGTGTATATATGTCAATGCTACTCTCTCAAGAGCCTGTTGTTTTTAAACGAGAAGAGGCTAAATTCTTCGAATTGAAAAGTTTGTGACTCGTGTTAGATTTTGTTTTGCTTTTCATCAAGCAAAGAACAGGTGCTTGTGAGCAAGCAGAGATAAAGAAAATTACCTCTCCACCTTCCTCAGTGGTATCAGCGAGAATCGCCCTCCCAAGGAAACTGTCTGGCCTCACGCTACCCAAGGTACAGACCTTATCTCCTTGCATCAGAGCTCAGCTTTGCTGGGTCTTTGTGTGGCTTAAGGGAGATAACACTAGCAAAGTACTCTCAGGATCATTGCTTTACTTCTCCCCACTTTATCGATGAGGAAATGGAGGCTTGGAGAAGCGGCTAGACTGAGTTCACACAAGTAATAACACACAGCGTTAAAAAATATAAGACAGGTTAACTTCCAATCTAATACAGCAGTAACACCATCTCTACTCATTCATTCATTTCTTCTTGCACCCATTACGCAGCCCAGGCGTTCTGCTAGGAGCCTGGGCAGAAAACACAGACACAGTTAAGTGTTCACAGAACTTATAGTAAAAGAGCAATTTGAGCCAAGATAACATAATTATGGTAATTATGGTATAGATGATAAGTGATATGATAGGGAAAGCGTAGGTTGCTGTGAAAGTACCCAGGAAGGGTGCCTGTGCCAGAGCTGAGGAGAAGAGGGAAGTCTTGCAGGAGGAAGAAGCTTCTAGGCTGAGATGTGAAGCTGAGAAGGAAGTTAAGTGAAAGCAGGAGGGGAAGAAGGAGAAGAGATGGGCAGGAAAGGTGAGTCACACAAGCAGAGGCCTACAGTTAAGAAACGTCGTTAGAGTAACCAGAAATAGTTAAAACTAATGTTTACTACTAATAATGCTAAAATGATTGAGCCTACTTAGAAGATACACATACACCAAGAGGCCTGTGAAAGAGTCAGAGAGAGAAGTGTTGCAGAGAAGAAGCCAGTTCTGATTCCACATTGGAACTGTTTCTTTGACTTGCTTTTTGTTGCTTTTATTATTATAACCATACAGAATGGCCTGCCTCGGAGAATCCTGCCCTTCTAAAGGCACTAAAGTGCCTTTGTTCAGAACCTTGTCCACCTGTGGAGGGCAGGAAGCAAGAAATGAACACATCCCCTGCCTGAAGCTTGCATTTCTGGGAGATGTTTGCAAGATTAATGGACTTTCTGCTTAGCTTCCTTACCTTCCCCCATCTCTGATCTATAAAGGAGCCTGGCTTCCAGACCCCATGATAAGATGGACATTTTGAGGTGCTAGCCTGCCATCTTCTCTGTCAGCCAGCTCCCCAGTTAAAATCTCTTCCTTGCCTCAACCCCTGTCTCTCAGGTTCATTGGCCTGTCATGCGATGCGCAGAGCAAACTTGCACTTGGAAACAGAAGGATGACACAGCCCTCCAAAAGACCTGGGGAGTCAACATTTCAGGGAGAAGGTAGCCACCATG